CGTTTTGAAACCTCCATTTGCCAAGATAACAGCTCTGAATCTTCACCTATAATGCCTGGAGAACACCTGACAAGAGATCAGAGACCATTCCCTCATCTAGAGTCACTCCAGAGCCTTCAGATTAACAGGTCCATGCTGGTGCTTCTCCTCTTCAGTTCACCCCACTCATTTTCTATAGGGTTTAGTTCAAAGGACTGGGGTGGTCATGGCAGAAGCTTCGTTTTATGCTCAGTGACCCATTTTTCTGTTGATTTTTGTTTTTGGATCATTGTCCTGATGGAAGATCCAACCATACCCATTATAAGATTACGAGCATGGACAGTCAGGTTTTTTTAACTTTTGGTATTTGATAGAATCCATGATGCCATCTATCTAAACAAGATGTCCAGGACCTCTGGCAGAAAAATAGGCCCACAATATTAAAGATTCAGCAGTATATATTTTTTTACTTTTTTACCCCTGTGTGCACCAAACCCATCTTGTGTGTTTGCTGCCAAAAATCAACCTCAGTCTTGTTTGAAGATCCAGTAGTGTTTAGCAAATGAATATGCTGAAGTCTGTTTTTGGATGAGAGCATTTTCTTTTCTTGATTTTTTTTTTCTTGAAACCCTCCCAAACAACATGTGGTGATGTTTGATCATTTTTTAGGCTTTCGGACCCCGAGACTCAACTATTTTCTGCAATTCTGCAGCTGTGATCCTTGGAGAGTCTTTGGCCACTCAAACTATCCTCCACACCTTGCATTAAGACAGTTTAGACACACGTCCTCTTCAATGCAGATTTATAACATTTTCGGGGTGATTGGAAATTCTTAATTATTGCCCTGATGGAAATGGGAAATTTGAATTGTTTTAGTTCTTTTACAGCCACTTTCTATTTTGTGAAGCTCAACAATCTTCTGCTGCACCTCAAAACTATATTCTTTGGTTTTTCTCATTGTGATGGATGATTAAGGGAATTTGGCCTTTGTGTTCCCTCATATTTATATTCCTGTGAAACAGGAAGCCATGGCTGCACAAATTCATGTTTGTAGTCACCCTGGTGTGCTAAAAAAAATGTACAGTAAATATAAACGGGAATATACTTTAGAGATATTTTACTTCTAATAATTTCTAGTTGTGTCAATAATTGTGGCCAACTTGTATTTGAGAAAAAAGTTTATTTCATAATGAGATTTGAAATGCCCCCCATTTTCAGTGTTTTATTTTACTTCAATGAAAGCTAAGGTTTTTGTGAAAAAACAGGTTCCTTTGTTCATATTTACCAATTAGGTGTCAATAATTCTGGCCATGTATGAGGGGCCGTACAAGCCATAATTCATTCTGGCACTCTCACACACTTACATTCTCCTTTCACATACATAGATTGAGAAAAGGTTACATGGCCTCGTCCCGTGAGCGAGTTGTGATTGAGGACGCGGGCTCAGCCTCAGTCGTGCTGCCAGATACACGCATTATAAGCGTCTATGGGTTTTTTTTTCCCGGAGTGTTTATTTACACTAAGTGCAAATAGCCCGCCTTGTTGATAGAGGCTATTTACAGTAGCTCCACCCACAAACCATGACTATAACTTTCTTTCATCTGTGGAACACAAGAAATTTTGAAGAATGTCATAAGTGCTATTTTTAAAAGTGCACATAAACAAAAGGCATTTAAAAGCTTCAGCGGAGGGCAAGATTATTCCAAATATTTCTTTTTGGGTTCAACAGAAAAAAAAATCAGTTATACGGGTTTCATTTTTGGGTGAACTGTCCCTTCAAAAAATGTAACAAAACAAATGTGCTGGATAAAGTTAACAGAATGACTACAATCAGGTATGAAGGAAAACAACATTTGAGTTTACACCACAAATGTAACAATGCCGTCAAGCCATCAATATCTTCTCCACTATCTCTTTATGATATGAGGGGAATATTATTTGGTCTGCACAAGAAACTTACCATCCCTTACCAGACAATATATAATCCTCACAAAACCTCAACCAATTAAACATTATACAAAGAGCAAGGCCAACATTCCAGACAGTTCAAATCACACATCTGTGGATGGAGAGTATAGACCAGAGCAGTGGAGAAAAACACATTATAAAAGCACTGAGACACTTGGCACTCTTTAAAATGAATCCTAATTCTTTATCAATCTAACTTGTCTTTTATCTCTGACTGTGAAACTGCCAGTGCCTTTCACTCACATTATAGTGAAATACAACAGAAGCTGAGCTGCTATTGATGGTTGTGGGGTCTGTTTTAGAGCTTAAATGGTCGAATGATATGTTTTCTCTCTGAAGACCAGACACTGGAAAGCATTATGCTAGATGAATACCTAATCTCTCAGTCTATTTCAATTATTTAAATCCAAGCCTGAGGGAGGAGCGACCAACTGTTCTGCAAATGCCTTTAAAAATATAAACAAAATAAATAAGTAAACAGGCACAGTATTTTTAAAATTGTTTTTACTTTGATTGCTTTATTTTATCCCTGTCTAGCGAGACATTCGATGAATGAACATTTTACTGGAATGAGACGCACTGGCGATGATGTACAGTACTAAAAGACTCATTTAATGTGCCGTTATACTTCACACATTAGACAGTTTTTATTTACACTCAAGTGCAAATCAGCTGGATGAATTAAGTCACATATGCCCCTTTAATGGACCATCTAAATTTTAAACACACTCAAAAACATTTACTCAGCATTCCACATCACTTTTTTCCACACATTGACTTTTAATAAAAAACAAATGTTAAAATGTCATTTGAGGTTATTTGAAGTTTTGGGACCTGAAAACATGAATGTAAAATCTCATTTAAAGCCACCCTATAAAACTGTCTCTAGTTATATTAAAAGTTCAGTTAATGTAATAAACTGGAGCAAACCTTCCAACTCTTATCAACATCAGCCATCAGCAATACGATGTGCCTGCTAAAAAATACCCAAGCTTTCCATATTTGTCTTTCTTCAGTCAAAACAGAGGCAGTCGGCCTTGTATCTCTATAATGCCTTACTTAATGAGATTCAAACATATTTGGCTGCCATCTGAACAGCAAGGTTACAGTAGCATAACAACACACTAACTTAAATATTAATCTAATGTGAAAGCAGATTTTCTATACACCATCAGGCCAAGACACAAAGTCGGGAGCAGAGTGGAATGAGCTGGGTCAATCTGCCCTAGGATAACGTTCCTTGACTTGGCTTCGTATTCACATGGGAGTCACCGTCATGGCCACATATTCTAGAGCAAACACTGGGGGTGTTCTCTAGACTGAGACTTCCCACATACCTCTCATTGTCATTCTGGCATATCTCAAGCCAGGTGCCTCATCTGTATAAGAGAGGCAGTAAGAGCATCTGAGAGCTCCTTTGTGCCTTATGGCAATCCAGTTCAAAGGCACATTAGGGTCATTGGGCATGAGTTCTGAGACACAAAGTCATAACAAGAAAAGGCAGAGTACCAAGGACTTTTCTGAAAGAAAAGACTCAAGACAGCACCAAGCGAGGGGTATATTTAGAGCCTCTCATTGAGGATAATTCATTTCAGAAGACTGGAATTTCCAGCTATCTAAAAAGGCCTCTGGTGTGTGCGAGGTCTGGGAGGGGCTGTTGTAATGGGGTGGGGTGGGGGGGTGGGGTATCAGAACCAGCTGATAACATTTTTGGATGAAACGAGCTGACTAATATCACAATCTCCTAAAGCAAGAGAACACAAGCATACTACCTGACCCCAGCACCTCCCAATGGCCAGAATGCTGAGAACACTGCAGCCAAACAGATACTTCAATATGCATGTCTCACAGGGGAGCTTTGTATCCCAAAAAATTTAAACATTTAGACAGTTAAGACAATGGGTGAGACATCAGGCCACAAATAAAGAAAACAAATTAAGACAACTTCACACCAAATGGATTTACATGCACCAGCAGATGGATTTGATACTCTGTCACAATATGAAACAGTCACTAATTGCTACATATTATAAGAAGCAAAGTCTGAAATAGGCAATTTGTCTTGGAATAGAGGCTCAAGTCACTTTAACCTTTAACTATTATTCATTTTTACTACAAATAAATAAATAAATAAATAAATATGTATATTAGACCAAAAAAAAATCTGTAAACAATTCATATGATTCAGATTCAGATATGACAACACAATAGATTTGTCTTGGAATAGAGGCTCAAGTCACTTTAACCTTTAACTATTATTCATTTTTACTACAAATAAATAAATAAATAAATGTCTATTAGACCAAAAAAAAATCTGTAAACAATTCATATGATTCAGATTCAGATATGACAACACAATAAATTATCTGCTATCATATGTTTTACATAACTGTCTGGTCACTGGTCACATTTTATTCACTCTTGTGGCATTTTTTTTTGTCCAAGTCTTGGCTGATTCTGGTCACAAGTAGTGAAAAATGACACAAAGACAAACCAGTTTTAAAGATAAACATCCACAAATAAGTGCTGGTCTGGATGAAAGCACTGATGCACCACAAGCCCCTGCACTGAGGACTAGATCATTGATTTCACACTCATCTGAAGCCCTTACTGTGTCTTGACCAACAATGTCAGCCTGAAACAAGAGATTCTCACACTGAACCAGTCATTATAGTCACATGCCCGCAGTCATGCTGGAACAACCAAGTGCACAGTTATGAGAGAGGGGCACGACAGAGCAGAGGGTCAAGTTATCCTGGGGGCTATTCAGCTCAGAATAGTCATATGAGATCAGAATGTTGACAACATATGTTGATTTGTGGAATGTCAGCAAATCCAAGTGGCTCCACCTATAGCTGAATAAAATAAACAGTGCTTGCACATTCAATACATTGTAAACCAGTGATACACAAAGAAAAACTTCTAAAAACCCATCCTACAATCTGAAATTCACCAATATGCGATGAGAAATAACTATAACATCTTAAGTAGGCTAATAGCATTTTCAATGACAAGAATTAAAGAGATAGCCTAGTACAAACTTAAACACTTACCTTCATCTTAACGTGCCATAATTCTACAGGTTTAAAGGTTTAAATGTTAGGTGGGGTAAGTGATGAACACACTGCTATCATTTCAATGAAACAAGTCCTGAGCAATCTGTCATCATCTGAATCCTCCCTGCCGATCCAGTCCTGTTAAACTGAAGTAACTTTATCCTCTTTTTGCAAAGACAGAATCTTCTAAAAGCTCATTGTTTTTGAAGCTCTAATCGAGCTTCGCCGCTTTCTCTTGCCTAACATTAGGTTCTACTGTTTTGACTGTGTGGGGAATTCCTTGCGCTCACATTTCCCTCGAAAGCGATTGGTCCAGGGTTCGGCGTCCACACTGCAAAGCGTCAAACTAAACGCTGAACGCTCCCATGTAGCCGGTGAAGTGACGCTCTTTCGGGGTTGTAGGTGGATATGGGTGGCGTCGGCACCTCAGCGAATCATAAGACTTGTTTATGTGAGCAGTGTTTACAGTTTTGGCTCATTTTCATGTGACTATAGCACTTGAGAGACATCTCCAGTTGTTCTATCAGTTAACACTTTATAGCAGCGTGTTGTGTTTAAACGATTTAATCCACAGCCTCGTTGCACATACATTATCGGATATAGCCTACAAATCATTTTGGTTAGCGTAGTAATGGCAGTAAAAACAACGCTTTTGTTATTAGGCTATCATATCGTGCTGGCTGCAAAGTAGTGTCCTTGTTCCGCAGGTGACTGAGCGTTCATTTGTTACATTAACTCAATTGAGACATCACATCCCCTTAACTATACTGAACGTTAGTTTGTGATGTAAAACAAATTCAGATGACCCCTTAATCACACCGTCTGCCCCGCCCATTATCGGAACAGCCTGTCTGGGGAATTCTATGGTAGTAGTGGTTTGTTGTCAGGGGGTTTACTTATTTATACAACATTTGAACAAGTGTTCTCAGACTTTTAACGGTAGTATTTTCTCATTTAATTGTCAGCATTTCCACAGATTGAAAAAATAAAATAAAAAGTACACTTTTTCCCATAAACTACACACAACATATTTTAGGACCCAAAACCTAATGTAATAAAGGGCAAATCAAAGTCGTGAATTCTTTCTCTCTTTCTAAAAAGCACATATAGCAACCACATCATCTCTCCTTTTAACCTTGAATCTTTGTTTTTTTTTACACAATGAGTCACACATCTAGTTAGAAGTATTATTTAGCGAATTTCCCATCAATGTCAGCAAAAAGTCGAAATTTAATTTCTCAGTTTATCCATTTTATTTGAAACCCTGTTTACTGACCTTATTTGTAACTATACCCTAGCTGCTCATAATGCTCGTTGTAGATGTGTGTGTAGTGTGGCATTGTTATTATTAATACAGTATATTACACTTAACTAGCCTACCCATAAGCCTGTAGTGTCAAATTGGCATTGTTTGCTGTAATCATTGCTGGTACAATTGCTGTAAAAAAAATAGTGAGATATCTTGACCCACTATAAATGATACGGACGTACGTATCACACCAGTGGCACGTGATAAAAGCTTGGTTATGTAGATATTTAATCAAATTATTGATTGATTTATTTGCATTTTTTTGAATAGGCCTACCATATAAAAAAAAAATAACATCAGTATGGTTTTTGTTGCATCAGACATTATTTGAATTGAACGCCTAATTCTAGCAGTTAGTTGCTTTATTGTTGTTTTTGCTAATTATCTAGCAGGAATGTCTCGTAATCCACACATTTGAAGCTAAAAAGAATGCTTCCCATACCGGGAGTCGAACCCGGGCCGCCTGGGTGAAAACCAGGAATCCTAACCGCTAGACCATATGGGACGATGCAGATACGGTCGGTTTTTATTTATTCATTCATAAAGAATACGCTATAATGATAATTTCTCTGTGTTTTTGTATCTTATCGTTCTTCTTATGGTCATATAAATGTTCACATGTTTCTCTGAAATTGTGTTAATAGACTTTACAACTTTCGTGTTCTAGTATAAAACGTCTACTCTATGGTTTCGAAGTGTAGCTGTTTTACACAACGGACAGCAGGTGGCAGTGAAGCGCTAGCATACGCTGAGCTTCCGCGAGACAGTTCACCGAGGCACACCAATATTTATTTGTTCCATTTTAGTTTCCGTCTCTCAAAATCTGTATAATTACGTAGTATAATTCATGATAACTTTTCTGTTTTGTTCTCTGGGTATTTTAATCGAACGAATATTTAACAATTATCCCATCTGACGCTGTTATATATCAGATACCCACTGTGTGTAACATTAGCCTGTTAGCTTCTCGGATCTCGGTGAGTATTTTTATTAACACGCTTTTGTTGAAACGTCCTTTTTAGTATTTTATCAATCTAAAAAAAAGTGTTACTCCTAAAATGTGTTCACCCCTTTTTTTTTAAAAGCGTTTAGCAATCTTATAGCTTCCACATCTTTTGTTGTTATATGCAAACATAGTGTCTTTTTTTGTGCAGAATTAGGAACCAAATATGACCTCAAAAACGAAAGGTACTAGCATGCATTGTTATGAATTCACACCGTTTCTCTTCTACTAACAGAAAATTACTATGTATTACTATGTTACATACCATGGTATACACATGATATTCTAAGTTTCAAGATCGTGGTTATCATTTATTGCCTGCCTTGGTATATTCCATAGTTCATGCATTAACATAACGCATATTTGTTTGTGTGTGCATGTGTAATAATTGTGAACTAATATGTAGTATTTCAAGACCTTTCTCTGTTTCAGTGGGAAAGGTTGGCTCCAAAAGCAAAGTAGATGCTCCTCATGAGCTGGAGAGTCAGTTTGTTCTGCGGCTTCCTCAGGTCAGTTTTGTTGTTGTTGTTCATTTTACTCGCTTATATTAGTATTTAAGTATGCACACACTCCCTGAACAATTCCATCATTGCATTTAAATAATTAATCACTTTAGATTATTGTTTGATATGACTCACAGTTATGCATTTGAGAGTACCTCAAGAGCTATAAGATTAGTAACATAATATTATTACACAAGTCACAAATAATTACATACAAATACAGGGTCATTGATATACACTGTTCATTCCAATCAAGTTAAATGTTGTTCAACTGTTTTTAATATTGATAATAATAAGATATGTTGCTTGAGCACCGAATCAGCATATTAAAATGATTTCTGGATTGTTTTTTTAGGAATATGCCTCCACAGTCAGACGGATCGCCCAGTCTAGCAGCATGAACATGAAAGACAGACTTACTGTAGAGTTGCATGGTAAGTACTGTACAAGTGAGAAATTCAGATGAACTAAAATGTACAAAGAAGTACTTTATATTTACTTCAGCCTATTACATTTCATAAAGCCTCTGAATGTTATCAATTTCTTTTGCAAAAATTTTGCTCATGGAATTTGTTACCTTATTCTTAGCCGATGGTCACCATGGGATTGTACGTGTGGATCGTGTCCCTTTAGCGTGTAAATTAGTGGATTTACCCTGCATCCTGGAGTCATTAAAAACGGTTGACAAAAAGACCTTCTATAAGACTGCTGATATCTGTCAGGTAATATTTTAATAGAAGCTGTTGATAGAAATTTCTTAGAGAGTTTTAAATTAAACTCCCCCATTGCAATCTTGGGTGACAGAGGCAAGTCATTTAATGAGCTTCAGCACATCTACAAGGCCATAACACTATTAGTTATTCTGCCTTCCTGTTTAAGATGCTGGTATGCACACTGGATGGAGACTTGTACCCCCCTCTAGAGGAGCCCACCGGCACTACAGACCCCAAAAGCAAAAAGAAAGACAAGGACAAAGACAAGAAATTTATTTGGAACCATGGCAGTAAGTACCTCCCACTCCTGTACTGGAATTTGAGAATGTTGAGACAGCCTATCAGTGCTAGAATGATTCAACTCATTTTAAATCCAATTACATCTGTCTCCTTCCAGTTACTCTTCCTCTGAAGAACACAAGGAAGAGGCGGTTCAGGAAGACAGCGAGGAAGAAGGTAACCTCATTTGGTTTTCCTCATGCATTCTGTTGTTGTTTCTGATGATTCTACAATCCTTTGTCATCACTATAGGCGTGTGCAATATCACGGTTTTTGATTGTGGACTATTAAAATATCTCCATGATCTGCTTTTGAAGAAATATCATAGCGTCGTGCTATAGCGCACGTTAACTCGCTGCTCTTGACTGAAGAACTTTAATACAGTTGATTTAATAATAATCAATGTATAATTTCTATAAGTGAAGTTTATATAATGTTTTATTTTTATATTTGTTCATTAAATTTCTTGAATGCTACAGATAAATACATCTACTGTACCTGAAAAATAAAGCACTGTTTGTTTTATTTGTATATTATGTGTACTTGTAATGTGTATCTTTGTTCTTATTTTTTTAATAACAAATATAAAATAATGGCAAAGATTTTTTTATCTTTGCCCACTTTGGCCTAAATGTCTGCCATTTTTTTATTTTATATTTTGTTACCTTGTATGGCTTTGTTTTTAAAATTGCTAAATATGTTTGGCTGTACTGCTCAGACAACTTGTAATATAGTAAAACCAACATGACAAATAATCGTGATAAAAGTGTGATTTTCCTGAAAGAAAATCGTGATATGATATTTTTGCCATATCGCCCACCGCTTACATCCCTGTTTGGGGGGGAAAAAAATGTTTACTCTTGTAGGAAAAGAGAAATGAGTTAATGCTAAAAGCTACAATTTACATATAAATAAAGCATTCAATCTCCATTTACCACCACGGTATGCAGGAAAGCAATCTGGCTCTCTCTTTGATTGAAGTTACCGCAGGCGAGTTAGTGGCAGGTTCTTCTTTCGGACTCTTGAATAAATCTCAGCTACATTGCAGCTAGCTATTGACTCTGCTTCTTTCTTTTTTTAATCGCTAATGTGTTCTCTGGCGTGCAGCCAGCCTCTACTGTTAGTACTATGTGTGCGTGCATGCATTTTTTGAGAATGTGTTCCTTGGGGCTGAATTCTAACCTGATTTATCCTGCAGTACATCGAGTCTCCTGATGTGGAAAAGGAGGTGAAGAGGCTCTTAAGCACAGACGCCGAAGCCGTCAGTGTTCGTATCCTTTATTTCTTGATTTTGTTTTCCCCTGTCATGTTGCCGCAAACCCAGTGACACAACAAATCTAGATGCAAATGTCATTACTAATGTAGGATTGAGCATTTCTGCCATACTCAGTCTTGACACCAGGTGGCAGACTTGCTCACAAATCAAATGGAGCAATTTGGCAAGAAATAGAGTCGGTTAAGCTCAGCATTACAGGAAAAAATGGCATGAGTCATGTATAAATTTTTGGAGCTCAGCAGCACAGTGATATAACAAACAGCAAAAT